TAACATGTTAAATGTAATACCAAATCGAGGAGAGGAGGTGTTGCAACGCACTAATATCCCTCCAGATTCCCTGAATTTTTAAAATATCTTATGCACTGTTGAAGGTGAAATATCTTTCTTTGAGGAACATTGTTTTTAAACGATTCAATCATTTTCTGACGTGTTTGTTGGAAAACTTGTGATCCTCGGCCCATCTTTGCTCCTAAAGGACTAGACCAGGCATGTCCAAACTCGGTCCTGGAGGGCCGGTGCCCTGCAAAGTTTAGTTCCAACCCCAATCAGACACACCTGGGCCAGCTAATCAAGCTCTTACTAGGCTTTCTAGAAACATCCTTGCAGGTGTGTTGAGGCAAGTTGGAGCTAAAATCTGCTGCAAAAATTTGAGTTTGGACATCCCTGAAATAGACCTTTCTTGGATGCTGCTTTTCTATCAAATCATAATTCCAATCACCTGTTGACATCACCTGTTTTAAATCACATCATTATTTAAACAATTTCATGTGGGTTTTTTTTTCCCATAGACATAAAGATTTTGTCCTCTTACCCTAAATGTACCAATGAACCCAAGCCTCAATCTGCTGTTTTACATGTTCAAAACACTGAATTTTAAATATTTTAAGAGCCATATTCTTGAAAGGGGCTAAAATTGTCCCCACAAGGTCATAAATGACTGGTATTACCTTGTTTGTATTACTATGGTATTTGGGTGCTCCACAATGTAATAAATCAACTGCGCCTGCACTTCGCCAACACACACACACACACACACACACACACACACACACACACACCAGCAAACATAAAAAAAGTACCCCACACCATTTCAATAGATACTTTAATCAATGATTTAAATGTTACTTCAGCAAATTACATAATGTATTTTTTTTGTTTGTTTTTGTTTTTACAAATACTGTAAGAAAATCAAAACACAATAAGAACAGGGACCGATTTCATTGAATAAATACGACTGCACCAAACAGAACCAATTCCACATAGCACAGAGTCGAGGTCAAAGAAAGAGGAAAAAAAAAATGAAAAGAAACAAACCAAAACATTACACACGTAGAATTTGTATATATTTATATTTAGATATTTATATATATATATTTATATATTTATAAAATCTTTACAGTAATAAAACTCTTGTCTACTACAAAAATAATCTTCCATACTCTTAAGAGAGAACCGTTTGTCCATTCAAAGCTTGTAAAGTGTCTTGTTTCATAGCCAGTGGTTTTTCTAAGCACCGCCTTCAAACAAAACGCAAAACTTAATTTAACATTTTTAAACGCATCTCTCTTCAGCCGTCACAACAATGCCGCATTTTCGATTCAGACATTGATATCAGTATGACTTTTCAACAGAACTACTTATGATATTGCTATTGCTCTTTTTAACGACCCCGTCCCTTACCCACAATGCCTTGCGCTTGTTTGATTGACAGTTTCAGCTCATAACTTGAGTGACATTAGGAAAATACAATCTGTATCGTGATTGTGTCCAAAGCGAATCGTCTGTGTACGAATATATCATCGATTTGATTTTTATACGTAGCATACAAAAGGTGACGGAACGAGAACGACGGAAATAAAATTACCCATTTAAATTCCCTTTAAAACACTACTAGCAAAGATGACCTCCACTTACATTCACCGGTGTGTGGGAATAGAAAGTAATAATGTGATAAATAATGTAATATATAAGCATAATATTCAAATGATAATCAACATATTGAAAGAAGCGCAAAAATAGGGAAAGTAGGATGTCAATATTAGATATGTCACCATCTTCTGCCATGTGAGAAGGGTTTTAATAAACAGGAGGACGTTCAGTAATTTAATGTCAATGTTTGGAATTGTATTCAAACATGTTATAGCAGTAGAACATTAAAAGAGATTTTTAGTTGAAACTATAGTCACTGGGGATTTATAAAATGCATGTTAAAGGCTACACTTTCAACGATGCTTTCAGAGTTAAAAAAAAAAACGCATACAGACAAAAGTAAATTAATTGCAGAGGCTTCTGAGGATGGTGGCATTTTTGTGAGGGATATTTCAAATTATGTGCTGTTTATAGCACTTATTCTACTGAAGATTGAAAAGTCATACATTTCGGGTAGACTAAGGGTGCAGACTGCACATTTTCATTTTTGGGTAAACTATGTTAAAAACTGTTTTTGGCACAAAATAAAAAAATCATAATAAATAGTATAAAATATTTATAGAAAATTAGCTAATTAATGTCAGTTTTTACTTTACGGACAACATGAAATTATTCAAAAACCAAAATATAAGTCAAAAAAAAAAAAAAAAAAAACATGAAATACAGGTCCATTTTTACCCATTTACTGTAGTCCCAACAGTTTTTATTTATTTATTTATTTTAATTATAATTTTTTTTTTTTTTTTTTTTTGTGCAGGGAAATGTAGTAAATTACTGAGCATACAAAACCATCAATTTGGTTTTTAGATTTATTTTTAGTGAACAATTTTCACTCAGAAAAAAATAAAAAACTTTACAAGAAAAAAATTGAAAAGTGTAGTCCCATTTTGTTAATGTGAAAAATTAACAGTATGCTTGTAAAATGACAGTATGCTTGTTGTATTTAATGCTTTTAAGTAACTTTTGACAAAATAAAATAGCAAAAAAGGTTAAAAATTATTTCCTTTGTAATTCTGTGTAACAAATATATTAATAAAATACTGAAAAACAATTAAATACTTAATAAAATATATATATATATATATATATATATATATATATATATAAAACTACACATTCTTAAGTACAAATAAACCTATTATTTTAGTCTTTTTGTGCTTTAAACAAGTTTGTGAATTAAACTTATAAATTATACACTTGTATTATTGGATTACGTTTTAAAGGAATGTTGATATAGAATGAATTAACAATTTCTGAGTGAAAATATGTTTCTAGGTCCATTTTTCCCCAGTGTTTATTATATAAAGCAAAAAAAAAAAAAAGTAAATTAGATAAAATAGATAGTCAGAAAATGGTCTGTATGCTACCTGTCATACAAGACAAATTATTTATTAAGAAATAATTGATTCCTAAGTATAGCATCTCAATATAATTCTTATGAATATGAGAGAAAAAAATAAAAGTAAATATTTAAATATGCTCTTACACTTTCATACATTCATATCCGTCAGCCTGTACAGTTCTGTTTTGGTCGTATGACATGGATGAATTTAAAATTTAATTAGCAAAATTGAAACCTAAATCAACAACCCCATGTTCGTACACATAAATTATTCCATACAAAACTGTTTCGGCAACACAAGACGCAGTTTATGATTATCATCTTCTGCTAGGCCATAATGTCCCAATAACATCAAGTCAGTTTTGCACTTCATATCTTGATACTAACTGATATGTATCTGCAAACCAACAGTCATTTTCTACATATAAACAGATTAAGAAGTTATTTTACAAAGAAAAAATATATACATTTCCTGATAAAAGTCTTGTTGCTTATACAAGTTTTAGGAGCAAATGTTATTTTGACTTAGTTGATCTGGTGTCAGAAGTGGCTTATATAAAAGGCAAAGTCCATTAGATAACGCTTATTATACCAAAATAAAGTATGATCATGTCTTGATTTTTAATTATTTAAGTAGGACAGTAAGGTCTGACTTTGCTAAGGCAAATGTCTAGTCACTTAACAGAAATAATGTACAGTATAGAATATATACTGTATATACTGTTTATATACTGTTTCACTCATTATGCAGTGAAAAAAAAAGAATTAAAATTGTGTATGACTCCCATGATCTTGGAGGAATGCATCCAGACATCTCTTCAATGACTCAAATTACTCATTAATAAAGTAATTTGGAATGGCTAAAGTAAGCGTTCTTGCAGGATACCCAGAGTTCATAAAACGTCTTTGGATTCATCTTTATCTTACCCCAGATGCTTAATAATATTCAAGTCTGGTGACTGGGCTGGCCAATCCTGGAGCACCTTGACCTTCTTTGCTTTCAGGAACTTTGATCTGGAGGCTAAAGCATGAGAAGGAGCACTATCCTGCTGAAGAATCTGCCCTCCCCTGTGTTCTGTAATGTAATGGGCAGCACAAATGTCTTGATCCTTCAGGCTGTTGATGTTGTCATCCACTTTGCAGATATCTCGCATGTCCCCAAACTGAATGCTACCCCAAACCATGACTGTAACCCCAAACCATGATTTTTCCTTCACCAAACTTGACTGATTTCTGTGAGAATCTTGGGCCATGTGGGTTCCAATAGGTCTTCTGCAGTATTTGTGATGATTGGGATACTATTCAACAGATGATTCATTTGAAAAATCTACCTTCTGCCACTTTTCCAACTGATCAACTAGAAGTCAAGTTATTATTTGGTGCTCTTAAACTGGGATCAACCACAAGAATTCTGTCAGATAGTATATTGCAGACAAGCAAAACAAAAAGCTTAAAACAAAAAAAGGATAATCCTACATTTATGCACTGTAAAAAGTGATTTATTTTACATAGAAAAGTGAGTAAACCTGTTGCCATAAAATCAGTAAGTTGACAAAAAAAAAGAGAGTAAACCAATTGTAACTTGGAAATGTAAGTTGATTTTACCTATTTTTTTTCATGGTTATGCGCAGTTTACTCTCTTGTTTATTTAAAGTCAACTAATTGTTACTAAAAGCAACAGGTTTACTCATTTTAATCAAAGTCAATTAATCATTTTTTACAATGTGTGTTACATGTAAAGTACAAATGTGCTAAATATAGTTTACAAAATAAACCCCCTGAATCTTTCCATTTTACAATAATCATTAATAATTGTACAGTTTTTTATTTGTATTAATAAAACTTCTAAAATGCCACATCTCTCATTTAATACTGCCATTTAGCAGTAAAACATAAAAAATAAACAATATTAACCAACAATAAGGATCGTTTTTTCCACCAATCATGCTTGCGTTTTCCCTCGGACTTTGTACACACTGGCATCTTTATAAATGAACCGCATCGAAAAATGTTTTATTGAACACACGGATGTATATAAAAAAAGCTGTACAAAGTTTGTTCTATTATTCACAGAGCACGGTAAAGTTAATGTCCGACATGCACAAGTACTGAATAAAGCTTGAAACCTTTGTGTCCGCATGAGCAAAAAAGTCCTCAACGTGGCGGAGTCCGGAGTTCAAACGTCAATGTATGTAGGAAGATCTGATGAGAATTTGACGCGTGGATGAGGTTTGATGCATTCTGGGAAAGAAAAAATAGAGACAGAGAGAAACAAGATAACTAAAATACACTCAAAATATGTTTGCTGTATTAAAAATGAGCTAAAACAACACAATTCTTGAGGTTTTTGGAGAGAAAACTTGATTGTGTGGAACCCAGCTTTTTTTTTTACAGTGTATAAAACATAACGACCCATGTTTAATAAAATACTATAGTAATTTATAGCAAATACTACTGTATAGTTTTTCTAAATCGCACTGTAGCAAAGTACTTAAACTAATTTGTTGTGGTAATTCTATAGTTGTTGTGTTACCATTGCAACTATATAATAACCACAACAGGTTAATTCAAGTACTTTACCATAGTATGGTTCAAAAACACAACTATACTAATATAGGTAAATGAGCCACTACTGTCATTTTCAACAACTATATCATGTTTTTTTTTTGTTTTTTTTTTTTACATATATGTATATGATATATTTTTAAAAATTATATATATATATATATATATATATATATATATATATATATTTTTACTTATTTATATTTTCTCTATAGGTTTTTTTTTTCCCTTCACTTTCATCAATTGGTGAAGTTTGTTCCTTGCCTCTGTCCCCACTGGTTTGGGACTTGTGGAGCTGCGCATCGATGGATCAATGGCAAACTTTTAAACTATCTACAGCTTAAGTTTAAAAACAATAATTGTAATTGTTTTAACAATCAAGCTCAGAGAATTTGCAAGCTTGACATGAGTACCTTCCAAACATATAGACTTGTTGCACTGTTAAAATGTCATTATTTTCTGTATTATAATAATAATAATAATTAATAACAATTTCTTACAATTATATAGCGCTTTTCTGGACCACCAGTGTGCAGCATCCACCTGGATGACACAAGGGCAGCCATACTGAACCAGACCGGACACCACACACCAGCTGATTGGTGGAGAGGAGACAGAGTGATGAAGCCAATTATGATATGGGGATGGCTAGGAGGCCATGATGGACAGTGGGCAAATGTGGGGGTAAAACACATTTTTGAAGGACATCCTGGAATTTTTAATGACTTTGGTTTATTGTCTCATCTGAAAGACTGCGTTTACTGAGCAGTATAGCGTCCCCATCAATATACTGGGGCATTAGGACCCACAGCCCCAGCGCTTCCTGCTGGTCTTTCTAACACCACTTCAGGCAGCTTTGCCATGTGGTCTCCCATCCAGGTACTGACCATGCTTAGCTTCAGTGGGCAACCATGTGAGAGTTGCAGAGCGCTAGCTGCCAGCTTTACTTGAGTAAAGTGAGTAAAGCTATTGCCTTAAAAGAACAAGTTGATTTACTTGGAACTATTAAGTTGACAACTTATTTTCTTATAATTATGTATAAGGCTTTGCTCAGTTTTATAAAGTCAACTAATCGCTTTAAAAGCAACAAGTTTACAATGTCATCTAATCGCTATTTAAGATGTCATAAAATAATTAAGTTTTAGCTGACAGAAGGACTGCAGTAACTCAATAACAAAAGAATGTCAAGTCATCTCAAACTGGAAGTACTGCAAGTTATCTAAACTCAAACATTCTCCACAGTCATGAGATTTCAATCCAGTCGAGCATTCCTGGGACATTGAGCATTTGGAGATTCACCTCAGCTGATAAATCTGCATTATGACGCTCTCATGTCAGTATAGACCCGAGGAATGTTAGGTTGAATGTCAATCAGTAGTTTAGCTTCAGGAGCCAACGAGGAATGCAAGTAAGAGTGTTGTCAAACTCTGTCTTCCAAATGTCAAATAACCCCTGATGAGTGTATGAATTGGCAGTGGCAATGTTCCTACGGCAGCCTAGAAAGCTGAAATGCATCATGACATTTGCTGTTTTGTTGATTTATTACAGGCGCCATCAAGGGACCGTAAGTCGAGCGACCGATGCTATTCCCTGCAATCAACAAGAGCCCCTTTTTCCAACAACTAAAAAAAAAGCCATTTTCATGAAGATGTCTAACACACACCCTGACTGAAAGTGACAGATAAAGTGTATCCACAGCTCGCAAGATTCAGAGAGAATCTTGTATGCTGTTTTAAACTATTATGCTAGTTTAAATCCAATCAATTTCCCTATAATATCCATTGCAGAATCAGCTCTTTTTTCATTCTGTGTCTGAAATGGTTTGTTCAAGGATTCAATCTCTCTAAACTCTGCTTTTCTGGGAACTTACTTTGCAACGATTGGTCAAATTAAAGCTCGCTCTGCTGTGATTGGTGGACTACTTGTAGCAT